GACGAGTGCGTTCGAATGAAAAAAAGATCATCCGAGCAGATGCAACGACTCCCCAATGCTACCAAAGCATCTCGAGGTTGACACCTCTGATGTGCGAAGCAAGTTTGCAGACTTGGTTGACTCATAACTCTCTCCTAACCGTCATCTCCATTCAAGAAGGGGGTCTGTGTGCGATGACGGAATGCCGTCCTTGCAGGGTGTGTGCACTCTTTGTGCATGCCAAACTTTCGTGACATATCCCGCTCGGCAACAAAAGAAGTGCGAGTCAGTGTGCCTGCTGCAGTCATGTGACAGTCTACATGTCATGTTGTGTGTCGGTGTGCCTACCTTAACAGTTGGAAATAAATACGCCTTCTCGCTTGCGAGACAGCATTTATTTCCCAAACTGTTTTCTGTCCGCATGTGGTGTGCCATGTTTCATACATTTCTTCGTGCATGATTTTTGCAGGGTGCAGCTCTTAATTTTTAATTAGGAACAACGTCAAGAACTTTGCGAACGAATATCTTCTTCATGCAAAGTTTTGGCTGTGTGCAGCTGGTGTGTTTTATTTTAACCCGCCCGCCCGCCCGGTAATACACTTGAGGGGGTCTGTGTGCGATGACGGAGTGCCGTTCTTGCAGGGTGTGTGCACCCTTTGTGCATGCCAAACTTTTGTGACATACCCCGCTCGGCAACAAAAGAAGGAGTGCGAGTCAGTGTGCCTGCTGCAGTCATGTGACAGTCTACATGTCACGTTGTGTGTCGGTGTGCCTACCTTAACAGTTGGAAATAAAATTTACTTACTTGAAAGGCTGACGCCCAGCGGAGGAAGCTTGAAGCTGAACAGGATATAGCCGCAGCCAAAAAGGATCTAGAAGAGAATAGGAAGATCATGCAGATCCTCGGGGTCCGATGGAGCTATGTTGAAAGAAGGGCGTGCTGCAGTAAGGGAGACACACCAAGTGGCAGACAGAGCCCTCCAGATGCTGCAGGAACTTTGCGAAACTACAAGCATGAATGAGGAGTTGAAAAGGAAATTGTTCCAAGATGAAGGTAAGAAAGGCAGTGCGCAGCTGCAGATGTTGCGTATGCTTATCAAGAAGCGGAAAAGTGGGACAGAGACCCCACGGAATATTGGGACCCAATGCAAAGTGAAGATGAGTGCAGGTCCCAGAGCCAAGGAAAGCGAGCTCGTGGAAGCGATCGACCGACAAGCCGGCAAAGCCTAAGAGGACGAACGTCAAGCGAGCAAAAGAAGCTCAGCCGATAGATCTAGAAGAGGATGAGAATGAAATGTTGCAGAAAGGCACAAGTGAAGGAAGCAGAACAAGCATCTTTACCACACCGGATGGAAAGGTCAGACCTCACACACTGTGAAATTTGGTGCGAACGTTCTTCAGGAACAGTTGAGCGCCTTGTCAAAGGCGTGCCTACAAAGGGCGTGCTCCTCGATGTCGCTCAGAGGCCGTGCATTTTGCCCGTTCATGAGTGTTTTCATGCTACTGAGGCATGGGAAGGCAACCGCATTGTTTTAGTCGGTTTTTCGGTTAGGCACCTAGACAATCTTCCCGCTGAGCAGTTGCAGTTGCTTCGTACTCTGGCTTTTCAGTTGCCTGCCGCACCCGTTGCACATGGGGAAAAGGGTGCAGCAGTCGCCGGCCAATCCGTTGCAGACACTTCGTCAGGACCTGTCATTCGTGATCCCGGTGACCGTGTTACAGTCAGCCGTCAGGCTGCATCAGTCGTCGGCCAATCCGGTGCAGGCACTCCTTCAGGACCTGTCATTCGTGATCCCGGTGACCCTTCAGCGTGTGGTGCGATGGACTTGATGACCTTAGGTTGTGAGTTCCAAAGTGCCGATGGTTTAGTTAGTAGTGGTGTCGGATTCTGAGGCGGACAAAGAGGGTTCTGCCTCGGCTAGGTTAGGTCCTGCCCCGCCTGCCTCTCCAATGGAGCCCAGTTCCCCTAAGTTTGCCGATGGCGTTGGGGTTGGAAACCAGGGTGCAGCGGCAAAAGGACAGGAGCCTTTTGATCCTTTCACGAGCCGTGCTTTTGGCCAGCACTTGACTTGTCGTCATGCGAAGGAGCCTCACGAGTTCGTGGATGGCCTGGGCTTATGTTCGCCTGGGCGCTGGCGCCCCGAGCAGAGGGGCAGGCCGGGGCAGGCTTTGCAGTTGGTCCGAGCTGAGCCATGCGGAAGGGTTGCAAAGGTCTATCCGTAATTTTGTCTTGTCTGAGCTGGATGATGTTAAGACCATGTCCTTCAAGCTTGCAGCCGGCCGCGTTGAGTCGCCACCCTTCAAACCCGAATCCATGCAGCGACTACGGGAAGAGCTTGCTTCCCTGACGCCGGATCCTCAGTTGTCTTTGACCGTTCCAGAGAGGCAGCCGTTTTACTTGCACGTCCTAGCGCAGTCCTTGCGGGAGCTGGGTGACCCAGATTGGGCCATCTTGACGCAGGGCGAAGAATGTTTTGCCCGGGGAGTTCCGCTGGGGGATGTCAATCCTTTGGGGCGCGTGCCTCAGGTTTTCCGCACTAGGGTCAAGGAGAGGCGCCTTGATGAAAGCGAATACAATCCAGATATGGTGAATTATTCTTCCGCCGAGTTGTCGGGTGATCAACTTGAGGAGCATTTTCGCAAAGAGGAGAGTCTCGGTCGGATGTATCCCAGTACCGAAGCCGCTATCGCGGAGGAATTTGGCGCCGGCAAACTCTTAGTTAGTGCTATGGGTGCGCTGCAAAAGCCGAACGTCGATGTTCGGCCGCTGCATGACGGAACACACGGCGTTCGCCTGAATCATTCTATTAAAGTTTTAGATAGATTGGAAGTTCCTGGACCGGATGAAATCCTGGAATGCGTTGCGGTTTCGCAAGAAGCACACGAGGCCGTATTCGGGATCTCCGCGGACATTTCCTCCGCGCACCGTTTGGTGTTAATTAGAAAATCAGACTGGCCTAAATTGGGCTGCCGTGCGCGAAGCCAGGACCGTGTCATATGGCTCAACACGGTGGGGACTTTCGGCATAAGTTCCGCCGCCTACTGGTGGTGCCGCCTATTCGGCTGCATAGGCCGTTGGGTGGTGAGGCTCATGCTGTCCCTGTGGCCATGCAGATGATTTATGTAGATGACTTGCATTTAGTTGCAGCGGGCCCACAGAAGTATCTTGTGCTTTGGATGATGCTTGCTGCTTATGAAGCCGTCGGCACTCCTTTTGCCTATCACAAGTTTAAGGGTGGGTTGCGAATAGATTTTATAGGCTACCACTTGTCGTATGATTCGTGGTCCGCTGGACTGTCCGAGAAACGTTGCCGATGGGTGGTCGATTGGATTGACCGCGCAGAGGCGAATGGCTGGATGGTGCTGGGTCGGCATTTCATCGAGCTGACTGGGCGGCTCACGTTTGTGGGTCAAGTGCTTAGGTGGCTGAAGCCTTTCTTGTCGCCACTTCACTCTTGGGCGGCGGTGCTGGCCCGGGGAACAGTTGCAAGGATGCCTTTGCTAGTGCACATCGCGTTGGTATACATCAGGTCACAACTTTGCAAGGGGCGTCGGCTCCTGCAACCTGCGCTCGCTCAAGCTGTCAAGCCGAAGCAGTCCTTTCGCACAGACGCTAAGTGTGCAGATGGATATGTGGTCTTGGGAGGCTGGGCCTTGCCTGAAACTGGGGGCACTGAACAGGCGCCCTGGTTCAGCTTGAAGATCTTCCCGAAGGATGCTCCTTGGCTTTTCAAGGAAGATGGAAGTTCCCAATGGGCTTCCACCGCGGCGGAGTTCCTTGGAACCATGGCAGCTCTGAAAGCGTTCGGCTGGCTTGAGGCTGGTGAGCAAGGTAGAGATTGGACAACCCTGATCTATGCTGGCACCGACAATCGTTCCAATCCGCAAGCGCTTAAGAAGGGTGGCTCGGTCAGCTGGTCCCTCATGGGCTTGATGATGCAGATGGCCGATGTCTTGATCGACACTGGTGGCAAGCTTCGGCTGCATTGGCGGCCTCGTGAGGAGAACCAAGAGGCGGACAACTTAACTAATGAAGCTTTCGATGGGTTTGATACTAGCAGGCGGGTTGCTTTGGAGTTGGGGGATTTGCCACTTGAGCTTTTCCTTTCCTTGCAGAATGCCTATGCTGACTTTGATCAAAAGCGTAAGGATTTTAAGATGGTGAATCCTGTCAAGACGCGCACATGAAAGAAGATCAAACTTGCCGAGAAGACAGCTTGGTGAACAGTTGGTCGTGCCCTGCACATGCGCCTTCGGAAGGGAGAGGTTCGCATGCCCACTGCGCGACAAACAGTGCAGGGTGTGCAGAAGCAGCGTTGGTCCCTTCCATCCTGCAAAAAGAGTGAATGCATCTTCTGCTGTCGCGCGCGCGTCATGTGAAGTTTTGTCTTGCATACATGTTATTGCGTGCTACCGGAAATATATCTTGGAAGTTTTTCCCTACAGGTTTTCCCCCTCCTGATCCCTAAACCGTTCGGCTCAACTCGATGACAAACAATTCGGGTTTACCCTGATAGATTGTCATTCGAGTTGACCCGGGTGGGTGGGAGGGGGTCTCTGCCAGGCTGGCCCTTTGCCAGCTCGGAAAAGAAAGAAAGACTCATCATGCCTTCTTTGGTTTTGACATGTTCCTTTTGAAAATGGACTTGCTTTTGAAAATCCTTGGACAGACACGATGTTGAAGATCCCTTGGCCGCGCAGCCTTGGCCTGAAGGTAGTTTCTTTTAGTCCCACCCGCCCTTCCCTCGTGGTTTTAGTGCCGACCGGATGCCCGTGTCTTTCCCGGTCCCCTCTAGACCTTGGGTCATGGAGCTTCCGCTCAGCAGTGCAAATACGTTGCAGTGTTTCTTTGTGCCCTCTGGTACTTCCAGAGACAGGTGGCAAGCCACTCTTAAAGTTTGCAAGCTCCTTCGGTGTTTCCGAAGCAAAGATTTGACAGTTCAGCTGCGACTACTTCTTCTGGTGTTCTGCCGTAGGAGTCTGGTTTCAGCGCCTCGCAAAGTGAAGGGAGAGGTTCGCATGCCCACTGCACGACAATCAGTGCAGGGTGTGCAGAAGCAGCGTTGGTCCCTTCCATCCTGCAAAAAGAGTGAATGCATCTTCTGCTGTCGCGTGCGTGTCATGTGAAGTTTTGTCTTGCATACATGTTATTGCGTGCTACCGGAAATATATCTTGGAAGTTTTTCCCTAACAGGTTTTCCCCCTCCTGATCCCTAAACCGTTCGGCTCTCTATGACAACGCCAACGAGTGGACTGGAAGCAATAGCTGATGGAAGAATGTTGCCAACAGGACCGCAAGGAGGACATGGTGAAACCGATGACTATGCGCCAAGTGAAGGCCCAGGACCTGATGAAGCAGGGTCTGATCCTCCGACAAGTCAAGAAGCTAGAAGTGAAGGAGATGATGATGACGATGATGACGGTGAAGACCCTGGCGAAGGCCAGCGAGGAAGAACAAGGAACAGGAGTGACCGAAGTACATCTTCTGAAGAGATGATAGCAGGTGAAGAACAACCTACGTCACACACGAAAAGGCACTTAGAAGGTCAAGCTGCAGAATCGGAGAACGTGAGGCAGAGAATTGATGAAGGAACAACTGAAACTGAAGAAAGACCTGATAAGTTTCTAGCAGTCAGAGTTGAGTATGTGAGAAGCGTGAGTGAAATAGGAAGCTTTATGAGAAAGGAACTGCCAAGCTACCACATTGATGAAGAAGTGGAACTTGACGAGCTGGATGAATTGGAGACGGCAGTAGGAAGTGAAAATGGAGATGGTGAATTCATGTCTGATGGAGAAGATGAAGTGCCTGAAGAAATTCCAAAATGGTCACATGCAGTTGAAGATGGACCACCAAAATTGGATGGAAGCGAATTGGAAAAGGTTGATGGAGTGTC